CCTTCAATTCTTGGACTCGATCTTTGTTGGGGCCTACCACCAACATGTCATCCACATACAACAACAAAATGATGAAATCATTATCATCAAACCTCTTGTAATACGTACAATGGTCTGAACTCAGTCTGTTGTATCTAAGGCTAATAATGAAGGAATCAAATCTCTTGTACCAACACCTTGGCGCCTGCTTTAAACCGTACAAAGATTTGGTCAACCTACAAACCAAGTTTTCTTTTCCTTGTTCTTCAAAGCCTTCTGGTTGGAGCATATAAATTTCTTCTTTAAGTTCTCCATGAAGAAAAGCAGTCTTTACATCCAATTGTTCAAGATGTAAGTCAAATGCAGCACACATAGCCAACACTACTCTGATAGTGGTAAGTCTAACCACTGGAGAGAATATCTCATTGAAATCAATGCCTTCCTTTTGAGCATACCCTTTTACTACCGAGTCTTGCACGATATCGTTCCACTTGATCATTACCATCACGTTTGATCTTATAAACTCATTTGTTGCAGATGGCTTTTCTACCTTGTGGAAGTGCGACAAGCTCCCATGTCTTGTTTTTGTGTAAGGCTTCTATTTCTTCTTGCATTGCTGCCATCCACGGAGAAGCATCCGAACTACTCACGACCTCTCGAAAGGTTGACGGTTCTCCCTCTTACGTTAGAAGACAATATGCATCATGACTTGCCATTACATAGTCCGAGTGCCAAGATGGTCTCCTTATCGACGTGTTATTCGTCGAACTTACGTATCATTGACCTCTTCTGGTTCTTGCTCCTCATGCTGCGGTTCCGCTTCTAAAGAATCTTCTCCGAGACTTTCCATCTATTTGTACAGTAGTTACATCTTTAGAAGTGTTGTCATTTACTGTTCATTTTGCGGTTCATTCTCTGCAAAGATTACGTCTCTGCTGACAATAACCTTGCGGGTAGTGGGATCCCACAGGCGATACCCCTTAACTCCGTCGGCATAGCCCAAGAATATGCATTTTACGGATTTTGGATCCAACTTTGTTCTTTCTTGGGAGTTGTACATTACGTACACGGGACATCCAAACACATGTAGAGAAGAGTACTCTGCTGGCTTTCCTTTCCACATCTCCATAGGTGTCTTTAAACTAATCGCAGTTAATGGGGATCGATTTATCACGTAACAAGCTGTCTTCACTGCTTCTGCCCAAAAAGACATGGCTAATCTTGTTGTTCGCAAGATAGCTCTAGTCCTCTCTAGGAGAGTTCTATTCATCCTCTTTGCTACACCATTTTGCTGAGGTGTATGAGCAACCGTGAACTGCCTCCTTATACCCTTCTGCTTGCAGAATGCCAAAAACTCACCATCTGTATATTCTCCTCCATTGTCTGTCCTTAAGCACTTGATCTTCTTCCCAGTTTCAAGCTCCACTCGTGCTTTGAATTCCTTGAAAGCTGGAAACACATCGACTTTTTCTTGATTGGGTACACCCACGATCTCCTAGAGTAATCATCAATAAATGATACAAAATATTTAGCTCCTCCTAGGGACATTTCAGGTGACTCCCACACATCGGAATGTATTAAGTCAAGTATGTGTTTGCTTCTAGTAGTTGACTTTTCAAATTTCAATCTATGTTGTTTGCTTGTCACACGAGTGCTCACGAAAGGTAAGCTTACCGATGTGAGCCGGAGTAAGAGTTTACGTTCCGCAAGGACCTTCAAGCCTCGTTCGACATATGGCCTAGTCTGCGATGCCACATTGTCGTTGATTCCTCTTGACTAGCTGATGCAACTGATACATCTGCCTCTTGCAACGTATCTCCCAGAAGCATGTATAGGTTTGCAGCAAATTTCTCTGCTTTCATCACTACTAGAGCACCTTTTACTACTTTCAAGATCCCACCTTCAATATGGGTCTTGCAACCGAGGTCATCCAATTGTCCAATAGACAATAAATTCTTTCTCAAGCCCTTCACATGTCGTACCCCTTGAATTGTACGAATAGTACCATTGTACATCTTCAATTTGACAATACCGATTCCAGCAATTTCCAAGGCGTGATCATTACACATGAACACAGATCCCTCTGAGATAGGTTTATAAGTGCAAAACCAATCTCTTCGTGAAGTCATGTGCCATGTTGCTCCCGAATCTATTATCCAAACATCAGTGAGCTATTTTTCACCTTTGGAACCAATAGCTGCTTCGCTATATAGGATTTCTCCATCATCAGAGATACTGGCAACACATCCTTGAGATGTAGTTGCCTCAGAAGACTTCTCTGCATTTTTCTTCTTCCAACAATCTTTCTTCAAGTGCCCTCTCATGCCACAATAGTAGCATTTGAAATTCTTCTTTCCTCGAGATTTTGATCTACCATAATTTTGACTCCCACTAGAGCCACGCTCTATTGATCTTCCTCTCATCATCGTCAAAGCCTCTGCTTGCTTGGAATTTTCCAATCTATCTACTTTATTCTTGCGTCTGGATTCTTCTTCTAGAGTAGCTCCGGCAACATCCTCAAAGCGTAGATTTCCTTCCATATTAGTATTTGTTATGTTGATGATGAGTTGATCATATGAGTCTGGTAGGCTCTGAAGTAGAAGTTCCGCACGTTCATTTTCAACTATGTTGAAATCTGCTGCTGATAGTTGCGCAAATAAGGTGTTCAGATGATTGATGTGGTCCGTCATCGATGTGGACTCACTCATCCGAAGAGTGTAGAGTTTCCGCTTCAAGAATATCCTTGTGTGAAGAGACTTCACCTCATATAATTTGATGAGGGCATCCCAAATCTCCTTTCTTTGTATTCTTTTCGCAACACTTGGATAGTACGGAATCTGCCATTACTAAATGCAAATTTGCGATAGCGTTTCAGTCAATTTCCTTCCACTTCGATCCAGTCATTTCTGCGGGTCTTCCTTCAATTGCATCAAGGCAATTGTCCTTTCTCAAAATTGCCTTCATCTTCAATTTCCATAACGAGAAATTGTTCCAGTTAAACTTCTCTATCTCATACTTGTTGTGTTTCCACTTATGCAACTTTCACTTATGAATAGTATTGTCTCTTGGAACAATAGTAGTAGGCCAGTGAACCGAGTACACTAGGTAAGTTCCCAGGAAAGAGAGGTGAGTCACTAATGGACACATTTAAGTACCAAGTCTTTCCTAGCCAGAACTTCCCCAGACAACAGTTTCACACTACTACACCTTTTCCAGCAACAACTCTTTTCTGATGTGGAAGATCAGATTAAACCGCAACCACATAGCATACTCAGAATTTTACCAACACTATTCTAGTGACTAGCGCAACGGAATAAAAACGTGGCTCTGATACCACTGTTAGGTATCAGACTACTTGCACAAGAACTCAACTAAAATAGAGAAGAAAAAAATTGAATAGCAATAATAGACAAAAGTGGAAATTTTATAATAGAAAGAAAAATTACATACCCCTTCTCTAATCCTAAGAATGACAACACTTTCTAATATTTAGAGAAGGAAAGAAATTTTGGGATGATTAGAATGGGGGCATGTGGTTTCTTATATAACCACTCACCCATGTCCCCTTTGAAGTACCCACCGACGAGGGACTTTGCTCTCACATTTTAATCATATGAAGCAAGTTTTTAATTAATATTTCAGCTTATATTTTAGGGACTTTATTTTTTTTGTCTCACTTTAGGGACCCAACATTGGCTGGAGAAGAATTTTGGGGCTCAGCTTGTTGTGCTGACTATATTTATACAGAACCAAGCATTCCCTTCAGCGTAGGCTAAGGATCCGAACATTGCAATATGGTGTTGGTCAGAGCTTTCGTGAACTTTGTGTTGTGATAGTTGTGATCCTGAAGTTGTTCTCTTTTAAATTGACCAAACTTCTATGCCATTTGGATTGATGTTTGTTTTCAGTCTCATTATTGTCCACTATTAGTAGGTAAAATTATTTCCTTCACTTCTGAATCCATATTTGGTATGCTTCTTCACTTTTATGTTTGTTTTAGTTTTATAAACTATTATTACTGATATTAATTACTACAATGTCTTACCACTTTTCTGTTGTGTTTCTTCAGCTTCTTCAGTACTACTGATATTAATTACTACAATGCTCACAGCTCAATACAATGATGGATATGAGCTTATTCAGTATAGCGATTCTCAGATTGATGTTGCATTGTCTCAATGTCCTCAACTACAGCCCCTACCGTGCCTAATTTTTGCTCTCCTTCGAAATCCTCTTCTCCGGTTTCATGAAGGAAGCACACATTACATTACTTTTAATGTATAATAAAATCATATTCATCATGGATTTTAGAAACAAGAGAATGTGTATTGCACATTGAAATAAAAGTTTTCTCTGGTTATTTCCCTGTTTGTACCGTATCACGCTCAACAAGAACACAGGTGTAGAATCTGTTTGCTAGGAGGTTAAGCTGAGAACTTGAGATGGGCCAAATTAGTACCTTCAATGAATGATAAGGGTATGCGAATTGGGAGGTTAGTTGGGTAAATAATTAATAAAGATGCAAAGCTTCAGCAACTTGGTCTCATCTGTATTGTATTTCTAGGTTTGAATTTATATGTTCAAGAATTGTGTCTACCCCAGATAAACAAGCATATCCTCGCCATTCATTGAGAGTCCGATATTTATTATTTATTTTTCCAACTTTTCTGTACTTACGGAGTTATTCCATTGAAATACAAAGAGAAAACAATGTTATTCAATTGAAATGAAATTTACAAGAGAAAAATGAATCATATGCACAACTATGCAAGGTGGTTACCTCCTCCTCTTAGAAAAGAGGTCGATAACTTGAAAATTAATTAATGAAATGATATTATTAAATCTTAAAAATTATTTAATTAAATCATAAACACCATAAAATAAATATAATTTTAAATATAAACACCATAAAATAAACATAAATCTTGAAAGGAAAAGATCAAAAGAAAACCCATATTATTGAATCTTCCATATTATTGAATCTTTAAATCTTGTTGATTAGAAGATAAACAGGCTAACACCTATGCCGCCGCCGTAGAGAGCAATACTTCAAGTTCGGATATGTACTCTTTATCAATGAGGTCGAGAAAGACGGGATCAACGGTGACGTGGCTGTCGACGTGGACATTGAAATTGTGGTCCCACCACATGATCCTGGCGGTGCCGGCGATATCGACGGCGGCGTCGAGGTACATCTCACTGCCCGCGATGTCGTGGAGGAAGCGCGTGGCGTGTTGCGTGAACTGGATACTGTGGAGGCGGGTAGGGATGCGGAGTAACTGCTCGGAGCGTGGCGGCTGGGAACCGGCTTCGAACTGAGCCGAGCCGAGGAGGGAGCCCTCATAGAAGATGGACACGGAAGTGGAGGAAAAGTGGATGGGAACGATGTTGGGGTTGGTGACATGAACGGTAAGGAGAACCTCTGCGTCGAAGAGAGGGAGGTTGAGTCTGAGGAAAGTAAACTTCATGGATACGAGGTCGAACGTTGGGTCCTTGGGTTTGGCGGATATTAGGGCAGATGCTGCTACTGCAGATGCTGCTCCAATTATTGCCGAATTCCAATTCCAATTCCACTTATGCTTTTGACCCATAGTAATTTAGGGTTTAGTGACAAGGGGTGTACGAACGGTGGAACTGGAGAGCGACTTTCATATTTATGGTCCAAAAATTTCATTATTTTTTTTATGTACTCTTATAAGATGTGTTGTGTGTAGTCCTCCATATATTAAAAATTAATTAGATTTTTATATTAATTATTTTAAAAATAATATAAATAATAGTTTCCAATTAATTGATTCACAACTTTAGTAGAGTAAAAGAAAATTGTGAATAATAGTTTCTAATTGACTCACGACCTTAATAGATTAAACGGAAATTGTGAAGAAATAGGAAATTGAATTTAGTTGTTTAAAGAATGTTTTTCAAAATTCGACCTTCATCATCAATATATGAATTTAGGGTTTTGGTTCAAAATTTCAATTAGAAATTAAACTAAAATTAAATCAAATTTAATAAAATAATATATTTTAATAATTAAATTTAAAATAAATTTATCAAATTAATTCTTCAACTTAAAATAATATATAATAAAATATATAAAAAATAACATAAATAAACATATTATCAAATATTTAGAATATAAAATAATAAAAAAATTATGATTATAACTAATTTAAAAATAATTAGAAAAAAATTATACCTAACTTAAAAATAAAATTACACCATATTCTTTTACTTATTTATTCAATTATTTAGTGCTTTAAATTTATTGGTTATATTATAATAATTGTTTATCACCTTAATGATTACCATTCTAAGACTTCCATAAGAAAAAATAAAATATTTTTATCGAGAAAAATAATATTATGACAATGTTAAAAACAAATAACCTTGAAACAACCCACTTCTACTATTATAATAATTATAAAATAATTTAATAAAAATAAAAATAATTTAAAATTATTATTATAATATTAAAATAAATTATTTTGAGAATGGTTTACTTTTTAAGGTTGTCAAAATATTAATTCTCTTATCCAAATGGTCCAATTTACTAAAAAATAAGAACACCGATCATGGAGGGAGGAGATGTGAAGGACCATTCCAAATATCCTTCACTCTTGACATTACATACTAATGTCAGTCCCGGCAACATACAATCTACCCTCTTTTACATCACCGTTTTACCCTGCTGATAACCAATGGCAAATGCAAGTAATCATCACATGGGCGTTGATCGACCATGGATTAGTGGAAAAAAGAAAAGTGAGTTCATCATGCTAAGTAGCATGAGAATATATAGCTGACATGTAAAACATGAAACAATAAAGTAGTAATTCATGATAATAGTACGATAGAATGAAAACATAGTTAATAGTGTGGTCCTTTATTTTTGTGCAACTGCTGCAACCAATATCAAAATGAGAAAATGCACCGCAGAAATGTTCAATCCTGCACTTCTGGCTTCTTTGAAGTGCCTTTAAGGTACCACCCTAAAGCCCCAAGAATTGTTATGGTGCCAGCTACAACTGCATAATTCCGGTGCTTGTCAGTTGAAACTCTGTCAGCTGATGATCCAGTGTGTCCTGAATCACTTGGTTTGGCATCAATTACTGACCCCCCTGAGCCTGCTTCTGGTTGAGGACCCTAAATTAGAGGATGCAGTTACCATTAAGTTCAAAGCAAGACATTGATACACAAACCATTGCATACCTTACAGACATAGTCACAAACAAACAGAAATAACAAAATATAACATAAAATCAATATTGTAGTTAGTCGGTCTTTACGTTAGAGCCATTAGCGGATAAAATATGCAATGGGCTTACATATCAACTTTAAAATGGTTTCTAACCCAAAAGTTAGCTGAAAAAGAAGATGTGTAAATAAATTATGATAATACATAAAAGGAACCAACCCCACCTTTGTTGATGAGCATTTTAACTATTTCTGATTCCTAAAGTCGAAGAAACTGTTTCTTAAAATGATCTTCCATTGAAGTCGATATATGTGACACATTGTTGCTTCCTTCGAGTTAAGATTGGTTTATTAAGGATAAAAAATTGTTACTTTTAAAACAACAACCATAGAAATCACAAATTACATAATTCAATTTGAGTTGCTTGGAGTTTCTCATGGTTTCTTCCATTGGGGTAAAGTTCAGTGTATATTGCTTAATGATGATGTGATCACAAATGAAAAATTCTAATGTATGAAACAACTCATATGAGTTGTTTCCATGTATGATACTCTAAGAGGAAATAATACAAGTTTTCAATGCATATCTTTATCTGTTAATTTCTTCCAAGAACTTATTTGTTAATAAGCCCTTTATTTTCATGTTTCTATTTTGCCAAGCACCAATTGCTGAAAATATCATTTCTCTCTCCTTAGGTCACCTTACCCATTATCGCATTTCATAGAGACATATCTGCGTACTTGATGAAAGTATACTTTGGCACTGGCAAATAGTAATCAAGTTCCATAGCCATAGCAGTATGTGTTGGAACTTTTAAGAATGTGTTTGTGTAGATTAATTATAAACTTATTCTAAAATGCATATTATATCAATCAAGAAAATTTCTACCGTGTAAAAATGATTTGGTGAATGGTAAATGTTAAAAAATATGAGAAACATATCATTTTTTATATCTGTAAAATATTATAGAGTATCCAACACTATCTCTTAATATTTATTCTTCTTCGTATTTTTCGATTTTCTTTCCTGTATTTAATAAGAACTGGGATTCTATATTTAGTATAAATAAGGCTATTGGGTTGTCTTTTGTAATCACCTCATTGTTTTAATTCTCCATATCCTTTTCTCCTCCCCACTAAAATCTCCAATTTCAACAATATACAAATTAAATGATTAAACTTTACAAGAAACACTGTCATTCTAATTAATTAATTAGATCAGCAGTATTTCTTTATGGGAGTTATCATAACCTGTGTATACAGAATAATCTTCAAGAAGATGCAACAAATTATGCAGAATGTATCTGAAATTTCCAAATAAAAGGTTTTTTTATGTGAAAGATATCTTCTACACCCAATTACAAGTCTCCTCAGGTTTATACCTAATAACAACTTAGCATTTGAATTTAAAAGTAAACAAAAAACAGATTGGGCAAATACTTTGATTGCCTTTAGTATATGTTTGGGAGTTAGCCTTTACAAGTGTGAAAAAGTCAGTCCCATAATGCATCCAATCCATCCATTTGCCACCACATAAAACTTATAAGCATCCACATTCAAAAACTATACACAGAAAATTAGTTTGATGATCCAATGATTAAGTACTCTCAAGAAGTTCATCAAATATCTTACTGAAATCATAAAAGAATAAGAGGTCTATCGTGTGAAAATGATTAATTATAAACTTGATTCTAAAATGCATATCATATCAATCAAGAAATGGTCTACTTTGTGAATATGATTTGGTGAATGGTAAATGTTAGAAAATATGAGAAACATATGATCTTTTTTATATCTATAAAATATTATAGAGTATCCAACACTATCTCTTAATATTTATTCTTCTTCGTATTTTTCGATTTTCTTTCCTGTATTTAATAAGGACTGGGATTCTATATTTAGTATAAATAACGCTATTGGGTTGTCTTTTGTAATCACCTCATTGTTTTAATTCTCCATATCCTTTTCTCCTCCCCACTAAAATCTCCAATTTCAACAGTAAACTAGTTAAATGATTAAACTTTACAAGAAACACTTCATTCTAATTAGTTGATTAGATCAGCAGTATTTCTTTATGGGAGTTATCATAACCTGTGTATACAGAATAATCTTCACGAAGATGCAACAAATTATGCAGAATCTACTACAGACAACATCGAAATTTCCAAATAAAAGGTTTTTTTTATGTGAAAGATATCTTCTACACCCAATTACAAGTCTCCTCAGGTTTGTACCTAATACAACTTAGCATTTGAATTTAAAAGTAAACAAAAAACAGATTGGGCAAATACTTTGATTGCCTTTAGTATATGTTTGGCAGTTAGCCTTTACAAATGTGAAAAAGTCAGTCCCATAATGCATCCAATCCATCCATTTGCCACCACATAAAACTTATAAGCATCCACATTCAAAAAATATACACAGAAAATTGGTATGATGATCCAATGATTAAGTACTCTCAAGAAGTTCATCAAATATCGTACTGAAATCATAAAAGAATAGGAGGTCTACCGTGTGAAAATGATTTGGTGAATGGTAAATGTTAGAAAATATGAGAAACATATAATCTTTTTTTATATCTATAAAATATTATAGAGTATCCAACACTATCTCTTAATATTTATTCTTCTTCGTATTTTTTTATTTTCTTTCCTGTATTTAATAAGGACTGGGATTCTATATTTAGTATAAATAACGCTATTGGGTTGTCTTTTGTAATTTAATTCTCCATATCCTTTTCTCCTCCCCACTAAAATCTCCAATTTCAACAGTAAACTAGTTAAATGATTAAACTTTACAAGAAACACTGTCATTCTCATTAGTTGATTAGATCAGCAGTATTTCTTTATGGGAGTTATCATAACCTGTGTATACAGAATAATCTTCACGAAGATGCAACAAATTATGCAGAATCTACTACAGACAACATCGAAATTTCCAAATAAAAGGTTTTTTTATGTGAAAGATATCTTCTACACCCAATTACAAGTCTCCTCAGGTTTATACCTAATAACAACTTAGCATTTGAATTTAAAAGTAAACAAAAAAAAAACAGATTGGGCAAATACTTTGATTGCCTTTAGTATATGTTTGGGAGTTAGCCTTTACAAGTGTGAAAAAGTCAGTCCCATAATGCATCCAATCCATCTATTTGCCTCCACATAAAACTTATAAGAATCCACATTCAAAAAATATACACAGAAAATTGGTTTGATGATCCAAATGATTAAGTACTCTCAAAATGTTCATCAAATATCGTACTGAAATCATAAAAGAATAAGAGGGCTTAATTCCAGGACATACCTTGCGAGCAAGTTTTTCCAACTTCTCTTGCTCAGCTTTCTGCAATATGAAATAAAAGAACACTTAACATGTATGCTATTGTCAAGCACAAACCTCCAACGATGTAAGGAAACATTAGAAACAAGAAGTAGCCATTTCTCTACATCAATAGATTGGACTGGCAAAAGAGATAAATTTATATATTTTTACCTACATGTTCGAAGATGTTGAACAGTGGTCTATTTTCTAGGCAACTGCTAGACTATAACCGAATATTAACAGAGGACAAAAAGGAACAACAACTAATTGTTTCCTTCTGTTAGAAGTTAGAGCCTAAGACAATATGAATTATTGTAACACACAGGATAAGACTATCCATTGATGTTCAAGAGATTAGTCAAAAGCCAAAAGGAAATCATTTAAAACAAATTAAAATTTTCAATGCAATTAAGAAAATACTGATTCAATGTTCCTCAATATGTGCAGAGGATGCCTAAAGTTGCTTGTACTAACATAACTGAATATCATCATCTCTTTTATTAGCAACGCATCATAGAAGCACATTTTCCCAAGCTCTAGTTTCAACATGAATTCTAAGAATGTTTCAGAATCATATTGTGCTTGCATAAAACCTCATTATACTTGCTATGCAGCAACTATCCCAATTCCCAAAAGCTTAAGCTGTTGAAAGAAAGCATATATATAGTTTCAGATAACGTATCCATTCACACAAATGAACAGATCCATCGTACCCAGTGCCTAGATTACCCCACTTAGTTAGAAGCTCTGATTCCATAACATGAATCAATTCTTCCAAAATGTTAAGGCGTTGGGCAAAAAAAGAAGAAATGATCGCATCCCAATACAAGGGAATAGCTCATTTCATATGTCAAAAACTTCTGACACCGTAGAAAACCAAAGCAAAATATAATGATACAACTGTATTCATATCCCTAAGCATAAAGAAATACCTCAATCCTAACAAGTACGGACGACAGCCCCGCACAGGCAATAAAAATGTGAAGGAAATCTTCTGAACTCGCCAATGTGCCCCAATAGAAATACATCACACAAACTTTCAATTCATAGCACAAGAAAACCAAGCTTTGGAGGTTACCTTAAAGTAAGCATTTTCTGCAGCCTTTTCCTCTTCGCTAAGTATTTTTCCAGAACCACTGCTAAACAGCCTTCTAGATCCGTACCTTGCAGCCACACGCGCAGCCATTGCAGTTAGTTGTATTTTATCCTCTTCTGTAAATAAAACGAAAAATCATACTGTCAATTTTAAATTATTTACGAGCAAAGGCACGTTAAAATCAGAGCTTAACTCCACATATTCCAAACATTTCCAAAAAATCTCAACAATTTCAGATTGCGTATATAACGATAAGAAAGCCTAAAAGTGCTACACAAATCTCATCGAGTTTTCCTACAAATGGACCTATATTAAGACTAGAAATGATAATCTCTCGTTTTCGTGGATTGGTTTCAATGAACAAGTGATGCGAAAACGTGATTCTAGCTAACTTAAAACATTACATTTTTTTGGTAAGTTCTTACACATCCATTCCCGAGAGCTACAAAATCAGATCCAAACATTATTTGAAAAAGTTTGTATAGAAAATAATTAATACAATAAAAAATCGGAATAATTACCAGACTGGGTTCAGTGGAGAACGCAGAGAGGGTTCGTTAGAAGCAGAAGCAATGTGAGTCGTGTTTGTTGTAGAAGCCCTTCTCTTGTGGTTAAGGGTTTAAATACGGCACCGCTTGGAATTACTCTACTCCGCCCTTGCATTCGCACCAAGTATTTGGATTCCTTCATTCAGATGCTGCTTTTTTTTTTTTAATTAAAAAAAACTAATATTCTAACTTTTTTATTTTATTCAAATTTTAGTTGGTAGAAATTTCACTCCAATGTACACAAATATATGGGAAATATAATTTTCCAAATGTTAATCATTTAAAAAAAATAAAGCATTCTAAAGCGTGTTTAGATTAACCTCTTCCTAAACATTTTTAATAAATAAGAAGAAGAAAACAAAATAGAATAACATAAACTAAAATTATCGTCAAATAAATATCTAATTTTAAATAAGCTAATATAAAATAACTTTAAAAAACTAGTTTATGTATAAATTATTTTTAGTTTATTGAATAATTGATTTTACTTGTATTTTTTTTATTTTTCTTTTCAAAAATGTTTATGAAGAACTTTATTTAAACAGTTTTTATTAATTTCTACCACCTCCACCCTCATTTCATTCCTTAATAACATTAATTTCTACCACCTCCACTCCTTCCTTATCAATGTCATCCTCTACATGTAAATAATGTTTGCTAGTAAAAAGTTTTTTACACGAAAGAACAGGATTTGTCTATTTATTATTAAGAAAATAATTTTTCAAATTTAGTTTCAGAAATTTTTTAAAAAATTCTTTAATAATATTTTGTTAACAAAATTCTAAAACTGGTTTTTATTTTTTTAATTTTTAAAAAGACACAAAATTAATAAAATATATTTTCTGTTTTCATGACATGGATTTTGGTTAATGATCACATTACATAATTCCTTTTTTTATTACAAAATGTCGAAGTAATCCTCCAAAATTTTTTCATTTTTTGTATCATCTTCCATCTAAAATAATATTGAAATTAAAATAATCAAATATGAATTTTTTCTTATTCTTAAAAGTAATCCTTTAAAATTTATGTAAAACTATTTAAAAAAAAAACAAAAAACAAAAACAAAATCTAACAAATGATTCATCTTTGATTGACAATTTTAAAACACAGCATGATTAAAAAAAAATCTATGAACTTTTGTCAATATATTTATTCACCAAATTATCTACTAATTCATATTTCAACTTATAAACAATTTATTATTCACCAAGTCTTAGTAGAATCAACTGCATGCATAAAGTCCTTTTACAAAAACAAATACTGCATTCAGCAAGGATATTACTTAAACTAATTAATATTTGGTCTCTCTTAAGTTCACATACATTTATGAATCCCTTCAAAGTCTTGAAATATTAGAAAGGGCCTAAATGACGAGAGCTTATGATGGGAGTCTGAAGTGATACCAAGCATAGAACTTGATAACATCTAGATTAGCGTTGCTCCTTCAATTTCCGGGTAGCAATGTAAACCAAGGAAAGAAAATTAGGAATGTTGTGTGAAGTCTGGGAAGCACACACTGATACCTGATCAACAACCTCATTGCATACATGGTACAAATTCAATCATGTATTCCAACACTAGCCTAAAAACTAAGCATCATAAACACACTATTATTCCTTTCTCGTAACAGGGCATAACCAACCTTCTCACATTTTCATTGTCATGTCTACCATAAAAGAAATAGATGAAGTGCCATGCTGAAACTTAAGTTTGACTGGTAAACTCCCAGTACAGAAAGATGTACACACCCAAAAATCTTAAACCAATGGAGAAAGAATTACACATGATCTGAAAATCTAAGCCCAAATTTGATTATTAACCGATTCGAATAACCATTTAACAAAACATATGCCAATACAGTACAATCATTTAACAAAATATATGTGGCTTGTGGCTAGGTACAGTAAAAAATTTATCACCCTACATGGAGTGAGATTGACTACCAATGAAGATCTCAGGTAATACTCCATTGCGGATGCTTCTGGCTGCGGCGCTCTGTTGCCTGATACATGTATCCAAAATATATATGTGCATTTGTTCATTATCATTATTTTATAAATAATAATCAGAGCATCTACAAATAATTATCCATCATAATTACAAATATATATTTTATTGTTTGACGTGTATAGCAATTAAGGAGAACAAATCAATTCATTATTTATCATATTTATTATGAGAAAAATAAATTAATATAATTTAGGAAACAAAATAATTACCATTCACGTATATAACCTTGATAGGGAAAAATATAAGTTCAAGTCTGATGCTGCCCATTCTTTGTTCCTTTATTCAGTTAAGCCTCTGATAATCACTCCCAAAAGTAAACAACTACCAGAAGAACCATACCCAGCAATTGTAACAGCTAACTGCAAGGAACCAGTCACACTCTTAAAAAACCAAACTGCTAAACTTTTGCATACTATTAGTCCTGATTTTACTTGCCAAAAACAATTATGATTTTTCGTTAGTCCTTAAATACCAATTCCTTAGTCCTAAGTCCTTAAATACCAAACTGCTAAACTTTTGCATACTATTAGTCCTTAAATACCAATTCCTTAGTCCTAAGTCCTTCACCCCCACCCCCATCACCTAAGTATCCAATTCATATAATCCGACAGCACACACACACACACACACACACACACACACACACACACACACACACACACACACACACACACACACACACACACATATATATATATTATAGAATTGAAAGAAGAAAAACCTAAAACATAAACACTATTTGTTAATTTTTCATTGTCACTGTCACTCACTTCAAATATCTTTTTTTTTTTTCTCTTCTACTCCATAACCACATTCCATATAAAGCCTCTCGAGCGTCGTGTCTTTCCCGTGACTTCTAGCATCCCTCTTCCCGTGCCTCTGCGCCTCTTCCCTCACCTCTGCATGTCTTCTGAACTAGCTAGTGTGCTCCAATAGCAATACATTACACAAACTTTCAATCCATAGCTTAAAACCAAGCTTTGGAGGGTATAGAGTAAGCATTTTCTGCAGCCTTCTCCGTTCGGAACCGCTGTTAAACAGCCTTCTAGATCGGTACCTTGCAACCACAAGCGCAATCATTGCAGTTAGTTGTATTTTATCCTCTACTGTAAATAAAACGAAAAATCATAAGCTCGATTTTAAATTGATTACGATCACGATCAAAGCCACGTTAAAATCAAAGCTCAATTCCACGTTAAAACATTACATTTGTTGGGAAGTTCCTACACATCGATTCGTGAGAGCTACAAAATCAGATCCAAACATTATTTGAGAAAGTTTGTATAGAAAATAATAATTACAATAAAAATTGGAATAGTTACCAGACCGGGTTCAGTGGGGAACGCAGAGAGGGTTCAAAGATGTGAGTCGTGTTTATTGTTAAAGCCCTTCCCTTGAGATTGAGGTTCATATACGTCACAGTTTGGAATTACTCTATTCCGCCCTTGCATTCGCGCCAAGTATCTGAGATGGCGCGTTTTTTCAAATTAAAAAAATAAATAAATAACATTCTAACTTTTTTATCCAGACTTCAAGGTAAACATAAACTGGGAAAATATATCTTTCCAAAAATTAATCATTTAAAAACATTTAGATTAACTTATTCACAGACACTTCCAATAAATCTAAACAAGAAGAAAACAAATTAGCAACACAAGTTAAAATTATCGAAACTATTTTAAAATAAACGAAATCATTTTAGTAAATTTTATTTATGCATAATTAATTTATATTTATAAATAATTTATTTTAGTTTTAGTAAATTAAATTATACATAAATTGATTTTAAATTTATGAAATAAATAATAATTTTATGAAAATTATAATTAAAAGAAGAATAAAACACCATAATTTATTTTCCATCCAATAAAAGTTTACCATAATTGAAGAAAGGGTTTGCTTCCTTGGCCTGATCATACGAGACTATATTGCAAGGTCTGTCTGTGGCTGCATTCATGTGATTTTATGTTACTCCTTTGTTTTCTTTCCTTTTAATTTGGTTGTTCATTAAGTGCATTGTTGTTATAAGTTGCAATTATTTCAACTGTATTGCTTTATTAACATTGACATGAAAATAAAGTATGACTCCTCTTCCTTTATATTATTTATTCATGACTTCAATTTTCTTTACACGCCATTGAAATAATGATAACATGAGAAAAAAATAATTATTTTCATTTTTTATACATTTTCTATCTTTATATATTTTTATACCTGTTACACTTTTTTTATTCTCATATATATATTTTTTTCCTTTCTCCAAATGTATAAGTTTTTTTTAATTATTTATTCTTTTTTTTCTTTCGTCTTATATTAATTATAATTTTCTTGATACTAATTAGATTATGTTTTATATGAATGACATTTTTTTCTTAAATTTATTATACTTATTGTTTTAGATGTGTTATCATCATTATTTTTTGCCAATAATATATTATCATCTTTTAAAATATTTATTGAAAAATCTCACAGGTAATTTAAACTACAGTATATATATTTTTTTCAATACCAATTATAGATATTTTTAACTAATATTGATGGAAACTTTGATAAAAAAGAAACTCAGATAAATAAAAATAATAATTAAAATATATATAATAAATATCAACTTAAAACTTATAAAGCTAAATAAATAAAAAAATCTTAACGAACTTTAATTAAAAAAATAATCTTTGAGTCAAGTCAACTAAAATATATTCTTAGGTTCTATTTTAGAATTATTAAATATTATTTAATGTATATTTCTTATATTATTATTTAATTATAAGTCATGGATGATCAATTCATTAATTTATAACCATTTTTTAGATAAGATAAACAATATCGTTAACTTAATAATTGACTGTATGATTTCCTTACATAAATTAACAATACATATTACATAAAGTAATGTTTTAAAACGTTAAAAAAAAAAATTGGGCACTTTTATCATACTAAATAATTTTCAAAAGCAAAAAATATCAGAGTTTAATTTGTATATATTGGTAATATAATTTTAAAATAAAACATATTTATATTTTTAGTTTATGTAAAGTGACAATTTTTTACATTTTTTATTTTATATAATTTTTCTTTTTAAAAATTTTAAAATATTATTTTAATTTTTTATGAGATAAATGAAATTTGGTTTTAATTTCAGTGAAATATTTGTCCTCTTTTTTTATCATTTTTAAATTTGAAACTCACTAATCTAGATTCATTACATATAATGTAAATAAATATTATCATATATTTTAGGATTTTTTTAAATATTACTTTCTGACATGATCATATTATAATATTTGTAGCTTTTAAATGGGCACTTATTCTTGCTTCACACATAATTAATTAGTAAGTGTGAAAGAATATTTTGGATAAAAAGTATGAAATTTTCAAATTTTATAGAGATTAAAAGATTCACTATATTAATTAATAAAATATATGGTAGATATGACTTTTCAAATATTTATAATAAAAATAATTGAATTTATAATACATAACCAATTAAAAATCAGATTAGTGTAAATGGGACCAATTACCTGATTAGTGTAAAGAGTTTTTCAGTGAATGTGAGAGAGTGATTTTATATAATTATTGAGCGTAACTCATATTGTACATAAAACTGTTTATTTTAGTTACCAAATTCTTTGAACAAGTAAGAAATTTATTTAAAAAAAAAAACAATAAAAAGGGAAAGGGAAAGCCTAGCCATAACATCAGCCCCTTTCATTCAGTCTCGTCACCGTTCACTCACTGCTCTGTTATTCCCACAATCAAATTTTTTTTTTTTCTGCCACCGTTCCGAACCGAACCGGCATGGATTCATTCGGTCCCAACCGCCTTTCGGTTCGAAAGTCCTCTACCACAGAGCGTTTCCTCGGTGTTCCGTCTCATGCGCCACCGCACTCTCCATCTGTCGCCACCACCGACGAGCTCCACGAAGAAGACGTCGTTTTCTTCAACGGCCACTATAACATCGATTCCAACAACCACAACGGTTACACTCCTTCCTCCTCTGCCTCCGTCACTCCCAACCACCACGTCGATTATCACCACCACACCCATGGCATCCTCGCCGCGCTCCCCGAGAATAAAACCTACCGCAACCTCCGAAACGTTTCTCAGCACTTCCACAAAGCCTCAATCTCCTCCATATCCTCCGCCTCCTCTTCTTCCTCTTGCTCACGCGTCATTCCCGCCGTCCCGCGGCCTCCTACCCCGGCGCAACTGTCGTCCGCGCCGGTGAACGTCCCAATCCTGTCGATGAAGCCACGGGGGAGACACTGCGAGTTCAATGATAATGATGACGACGTGAAGGACGACGATGAGGAGATGGTGCCGCCGCACGAATTCGTGGCGAGGAACTCAACGCAATCGCCTATGCTCGCTTATTCTGTTCTGGAAGGGATAGGGAGAACGTTGAAAGGGAGAGATCTGCGTCAGGTTCGAAACGCAGTTTGGCGCCAAACAGGTTTCCTAGATTGATTGATTCAATTCAAATTCTGGTATTAGTGTTTAATTTTAAGTCATTGATTGAATTCTACTATGGTCTGAATTTCCCCTGAACTCGTGGATTTCCTATTTATCGTCACTCCTAGGGTTCTTCTCATACTCTTTTTCGTTTCGCTTTGCATGAGAAACGTAAAATGTGTTCTTTGTACAATAGAAAAATTAACAATGGTGAAGTATAGAGAGAAATTGAATTTTAGTTTTCTATGGATGACGAGAGTGTCGAACCCGGGACCACTTATTGTAAGTGTACAAGCTCTGGTATATAGTGATCTAACTATTTGTAGGTAATTAAGTGAAGATACATCTATTTTTAAGATGAGTTATGTAAAATTGGGTAATAAGATGTTGTGGAACGCCAATGATTTAGGAAGGTTATGCAAATGGAGTAATGGACCATCTATTCTCTGACATAGACTATGACTTCTAGGATGATTTAATGCATATAATTTCCTGAGTTGGAGTGTGGCTTATTTATCTGCTTAAAACACGTGACTATGGAATTGGAAGATCCAATTGGATCCTAAATATAATGAATATTGTTTGTACGTTCTGTCGTGCTCAGATTTGGTCTAGCTCTTTTTTAAGTGTTAATGGTAAATGAATAATTGCTGTTTCAACCTGTGGTTCAAATTTCAATATTTGATCATGTAGTCAAAAACAGATTGGTCAGGGCATTGATTACCTAATGTTGCTTTGCCCCCACATAAATTGGGGATATGGTGGTTCTGTTTGGTCTTGTTTATTACTCATTATTGTCAATAATTTTACTGACTTATAAGTAGACGTGAAGAAATTGTTACTAAGGTTATGTAGGTTAGCAACCAGCAAGAAAACATAATTTATATTCAATTTATACTCAATGAAAGAGTGGAATGAAAATAGGGTTGGCAAACACATCCCAATTTGATGGGGTCTGGTCCTGTATAGATATTTACCTAAAATTTTGTGTCTATGGATACTACAATATAAGGTATTACAGTACCTAAACTTACCAATCTATGGATACTACAATATAAGGTATTACAGTACCTAAACTTACCAATCCTATCCTAACGTCAGTCACACTGTGAGAAGAGTCTTGTTTCTATGGCCATTATATGAAGTTGTATTTGAATATATTGTTGGATGTATATCTATCAGTAGCTTTATAATTATAATATGCTTCTAATAGAGGGAAAAAAACTCTTCTGTGAGAAAGAATGGGCAGCCCGGTGGCCGAAGGAAATGACATGGGTGAGAGGAGAGTTCTGAGCATCTGGTTTCGTTTCTCTTAGTCCTCGGAAACATGAAAATGATGGTTTGAACAACTTTTGCGTGAGCATAGTGTCTCTATAAATGTGATTAGAAGCTCAAAATAATCTTTAACATGGGAAGGCTCACATTATATGCATCATATACAAAATGGATAGGCACAAAATATTGTCTCAACGGTTCTTTTTTGTTGGAGTGGTGCCTCGATAGATCATATATATGATAGATCATATATATAATGAAAGAAGCCCAAGCCAGCAACTATAATATTCTGATGTTTATGTATAGAGAAATGTTTTCTTCACAATCTAAATATCATTCTACAACTAATTACACTAAATAATAATATTATTTAATATTATATTAATTTTTTTAAACTAATAAATTTAGTTTATGCAACACTTAAAAAAATAAACTTTTAGTGAAGTTAATATAAGCAAATGTTCACTTATTAGTTTATAAGTTAATTTTAATTTATGAACATAGTTAATTTTTTATTTTATTTTTAGACTTTTAGAATTGTTTTCTAAGAATTCAATAAAATTATCTAAAGAAAGGTTAAATCTATACGATTGAATTAATTTTTCAAAATTCAACAAATGAAATTTTGATGAAAGAAATATTTACATTTAATTGTAGAAGAACTAATGTATAACATGACAATGAAGTACATCGTGCTAACTGCAAATTCTAACTATATATTTTGGTAAATCTTGGTGTAGAAAAAAAAAAGTAAAAACGAAATAGAAAATGAAATGGTTTATTAGATTGTTTGATAGAAAACATAAAGTTAATTTGCTTTTTCGTATTTAGGTATAAATAGAGAATCGACACGAGAAAATTAAATAACTAAAATAAATTTTTTTATTTTAATAGAGAAAAAAAGAAGTAAAAATGTTATTGAAAAAAAAAACAGTAAAAGAGGGTAACACCTGTCTAAAGTTACATAACACCAGTTCAAGCAAATTCACGAGACAAATGTATGAAAAAAGAAAAAAAAATTAAAAAATTGTGATTTTCAATAAACTTTAATTTATATTCGAGAATGTGTGTTAAAAAAAGTTATATAGATTGTCTATTGCGTATACATCTTTTAGATCATAGCATTGTATTTGAAAGAGGCTTTAGTACATGGATGACATGTGATTGTCCATATAATATAATATAATCCAGTCATGGACGGAGGCAGCACATGCACATGAATGACCAAAATAGGCACGAAGACACATCACTCTAATCATACACTCAAACTTATGTTTATTCTTTTTTAAAAATAATTTTTATTTTGTTAGTCTTCAAAATTAAAATAATTTTTTATAGTGTTTTATTTTTATTAATGATATTTACACATTTATTAATAATTAGATTACATTTTCCATTTCTATTGTTATTAAATTAACAAAATATTTTTTTAATTTTTATATTTTTTTTATTATTGTGAATTTTATTATTATTTTTGTTTAAATCAGTTTTCAAAATTAGAGTTAACTAACTTTTAACTTATTTCAAAAAGTTTTTTTTTCTAAATTAATCTTTAAAAGTATTTTTAAAAACTAAAAGATAAAATGAAGGATTTGTTTAGTTTTGTTTTTAAAATTTTAAAAACAATTTTAGAGATTAGTTTTTTAAAAAATATTTTTAAAAATAAGTTAAAAAATTGTTTAATAATTCTATTTTTAAAACTATTTTAAACATGTCATACGATTATAAAATGTCGTAATAAAAAATTAAAAATAAATTTGATAATTTTATATTAATGAAAATAAGTGATTTAATATAATTATTATATAAAATTTTGATATTTATTAGTAAAAAAAAAACACTTTTGATCTTTTAATTTTTAAAAGCTAAATTAAAAAAGTGAAAATTATTTTTAAAAAACAATAACTAATCAATATCCCTAAATCTCAAATTATACCCCTTTATTTCTATTTTACCCCATTTCTATGTTCCTACGTTACACTACTATCATACAATTAATCATTAGATAAAATTACAAAGTAGATAGCACGTGTTAAATTAAAAAACACACACACAAAATAAAAAAAATCTTAAAATTATTTTTTATAACACGTCTTTTTAAAAGTAAAAAAGTATTAGATATGATAATTTTAATTGAAATTTTAAAAAAAAATCAACGAAATATTTTTTAATAATACAATTTTTTTTATTAAATTGTGTTATATAAAATAAGTTATTTATTTATATATATATTTTTTAAAATACATATATTAATAATTTTAAATAAAAATAAAATAAGTCACATTTTATATAAATAATGAAAAAATTATATTTATAAAAAAAAAAGTTATCGTATGTCTGATATTTAAAAGGATATTTTTATATTTTTATCATGTTTCAACGTATAAAAATGAGTACCACTATTAACCATCTCTAAACATTTTCAAAATTAATTTTCATATTATTTTAAAAAAATTAAAATACTTAACTCAATCATTAAAAAAAAATATACTCAGTTGAACAATATTGCAAAAGCATTGCCATATTTTAATCATAATCATTATTAGGCTTCAACAAGTAAAGAACGCTTCCTTTATTGAATCCTATAAAAACATTTAATATTTAATGACGTTGCCTTTGAATTTACTGGTAGCTCCTTAAAGTGACAATAGTTAGTTGGATATTGTGTGGAACCAGCCTCGGAACCAACTAAAATGGGGCCCTGGAGTAAGATGTTACTGTTTTTATTGCTATTTCTTTGTTCAGACAATCATCCGAAACCCTAGAAAAGTTTCTCACTTTGTGAATGTTCTTGGCATCCGTTAAAGTGGATTTCCCTTCATCATTGCATTTCTATGAAAACTTTCCAAAGGAACCATAAAATTTTCCCGCATATAAATTCTTTAAACTTTACACAAGAATGAAGATAGAAGAAGAAAAGACTTTATATATATACATTTCTGTTATTGATTCCTTTTTTTTTCTTTTTTTCATCTTCTTCTATTCAAAATTTTCAAATTTCTCTTCTTTTTTTTTTTGCTTTCTAACAATTAAAATAAACAGATTATTAAAATATATGACTAAGATTATAAAAATTTCTCTAAAACTACTTCTAAAAAGGAAAATAAATTATATAATATTTTTTATGATATTACAAACGATAAAATATCTATCTTAATATTATAAAATTGATCTGATACAATAAAAATTATATTTTCACTTATATATTATAATATCATATTTCTACTCAATTATTTATATTGATGATAATTTATAGAATCTATATAATATATTATTAATAAATAATAAATAAACATAGGTCATAAAAAAAAGAAAAAAAGAGTGAAAGATAAAATTTATAAATATAGAAAAAAGATAATTAATTTATGGAAACAATGTATAAATTATAAAACTTTAAGGGATATAGTCCCCTAAGAACCTCTATTACAATTTTTCATCATATAAACTCAAATAAACAATGTAAAAGTGAAATTTTATTATAAATTGATAACTCAGTATTAACAAACATTCATTTATAACTTCATTTATTAGTAAAATAATAATTTTTAATTGATGGTTGTATTAAAATACCAACACAAGTCATAAATTTAAGTTTATAAAAGAAATGCATTTCATTTTTTCAAAATGTATTTATAAATAAAATTTATCCGAATAGATTTTTTTGGGCGAATATATTATAAGAATCGGAGGCAAGTTTCCATTTTTCTTTCATGAAACGAATATTTATTATGCATAATTTA